AAGATGGGCAGGGTATTAGCAGCCAGTTTGATATACCTTGTGGTGGGAATCAGGACAGCCATGTCCCATTAAATGTAACAACTTTATTGTGACATTTTAGGGAAAGTCCAGGGGCCAGAGGATTGTGATGATAATGTTTTGGAGAAAATCCATTACTAGGTGGGATGGCGTAATCAGGGCTGGACGAAAAACTCCTTAAGGTAACTTAGGCCTCCCTGGTGGCGCAAGGGATTAAGCACAGAGCTCTAAAGCTATCCAAAGCTGCTGCAGCACAAGTTTGATCCCCAGCCAGTCAGGGAGATACCCACATGGCTCAGCAGACCTCTCTTGTCTCATCTGCTTCTCCCTTCAGCAGTGTATTTCAGTCAATCTGCCTGTTCTGTTCCCCACTCTTTCTCTGATGAATCTTCTCACCCTCCTGCACCTCTGGCCTGTGCCCCAGTTCTTGTATGCATAAATGAATAAATCTTAAAAAAAAAAACCTTTAGGTAACTGTAAACCGATAACATATGAAGAAATACTTGTTTCTTTCATTATATTCATGCTATTGGCCTTTCCCTGTATATTTCTTCATCGTTACACTTCTGAAATTCTAGGATACTCAATGTCCTTTACCCATATCAGTTAAAACATATAAGTAAGAATCTCTTTAGAGACAATATGTGTCAACATACATGTGGTGTTTGCTGAATGAAAAGTCTTTCTTATACATATATAATGGAATATTATTCAGCCATGAAAGGGAAATCCTTTGATTTGTGACACATGAATAGACCATGAAGGTATAATGCTAAATAAGATAAGTCACACAGAAAAAGACAAACACAGATGGTATCACTTTTATATGAAAACTACTGAACTTGTAGAAATAGAGAGTAGAATGGTGGTAGAAAGGGTGTAAACTTAGAGTTAGAAGATGAATAAGATCAGGAAATTTAATAGACAATATAGTGATTATACTCAACAATACTGTGTTATCAACTGCAAATGTTAAGAGACTAGTTTTTAAGTGCTCTCACCACAAAACAGAAATGATAATTCTGTGATGTAATAGAGGTATCAGCTAATACTCTGGTGATTATCACACTCAATATGTAAATGTATCAAATCAACAAATTGTGCACCTGAAACTTACATAATGTCATATGCCAATTAGATCTCATTTTAAAGAAGCATTTCTTATCTATATGCCAGGTAGATGTGTCAGCTTTGATTACAACAAGCTTTCAGATTAAAGCTCTCAGTTGAGTCAAGCTAGGACATAAATCCACTATTAAGTCAATTAGCAAAGAGTTAGGCACTATTATCTAATTTGAGAGGGCACTATGCAGGGTCTCCTAGGCCACATTTTGTTATTTCTGCAAATGTGACATTTTAAGCAGAAAGTGTCAGAATCTGATTTGGATTTTGGAAGATTACTTTGGCTGCTGGATGAATTCTATGTGATAAAGAATGGACTGGGGAGACCAGTTGGGAGTGACTGTAGTACACCTTCTCAGAGTAGATATCTCTATCTACGTCTGCACTCATATCGTTATCTATATCTGTAGATATAGATGAAGGCAGAGGCAGGCTTGCAACTGAAAGGTGTCTCTCTCTGGGATGCCCAGTGGGCCACAGAGAAAATGATTGAGAATGCACCCCTTTTTCTTCTCTTGGAGCATCAGCTGCCATGTTCTCCCCTCTCTATCTGAAGTGGATTTATGGTTTACTTTTTGAGACCTAGTAGGCCCCCAGGAGTCCTAGATGCAAAGCTCTGGCTTTGTCTACTCACTTAGTTGAAACAGGGAAAATCCACCCCTTTCCAGTTGTACAACCCAGCACAGGAATCGGAGCACACAAAATGGTGAGAAGGATGCCCCAAATTTTCCATTTCCACTTGCTTTATAGAATGAAAGTGTTACAGGGAAAGGATGTCCTGCCTGCAGTGGATTATTACTAAGCCACTTTTAAGTGCGCGTGTGAGGCCCCACAGTCAGGCAACCCGTTTTATATTGGGGTTGCCCGGTAACAAAGGCACTGTTCATTTTTCTGTGTATGAACTGCTTTCTAAAGATAAAAGGATCAAGTGGCTTTGATTCTTCCTCCTCCTTCTCCTCATCAGAAACCCCTGCTCTGTGGGAAAGGCTTGGAAGAGATTGACAATAACGCTGATCTCTCTGGCCAGCTCTCGAGGTCCCGGGTCAGGCAGCTTGTTGGTGCCCTGCCAGACCATAGCTTGAACTTCACACAGGAGCCTGTTGGGTAAATTATCAGCTGTGGATATTTCCACCAGATGCTTTGCTTATGCTCCGGTGGCCTAAGGAGCTCTGATGTAGCTTGTTCATTCTGGACTCTGGTGTTTGCCTGTCTTTTATTTCTGACAGCATAACTTTTATTTACTAAGCCTTTGGGCTCAACATTTCAAGATTCTGGAGGCAAAACCTAAAGGTAACACTGAACTTGTAATGTGGACCTCACAATGCTGCATCACATCTGTGTGGGTCTGCTAATCCTAAACAGCCTGGTTGGCCACCATTTTGTTACCTACAGTTCTAAATCCTAAGCAAGGTCAGAATGGTCTGGTCAGTTAGGTACAGGAGCTTACCCCTGCAAGGTGCCTTTCAAATCAATCAAGAGCACAAAGCTGGATCACACTGGGAAGGCTATACATCACGAGTTGTGACCGGGAATGCGAGGGACCAAGGATCATATATAACAAGGGACCCCAGAAGCGGATCAGTGGAACGCCTTGTTGATAAGATTGAAACCATGGCTGGGGAACAAGGGCTTCATCTCAATTACAATACCAAGTCATCAGCAGATGAGAAGTGCCTGGAGGGCAGACTCACAACCCCTGATACTACAGATGACAGAGCACCTTTTCTAGTTTCACCTCTCCCTTTTCTCTTTGCCCTTCTTCCTCTCAACTGATGCTGTATAATTCTTCTATCAATAAAAAGTCCAGGATCTTATCTTCAGCAGCATCCTGCATCGTGCAGCCTGCTCCACGACTCCTGTTTCTTTGTCAGTGTGGTGTTGCCCGATGCAACAGATCTGGGGTGATAACCAGCTCCACTACGCGGGAACTTTTGCTTTGAAGCATGATATAAGGTATTAAGGCAGACTGTAGTTTTCCAAATATTTAAGTTCCTATATTTCAATATCCCCAGAAACATAAACAGGGTGAAGGGTAATATTTCTGAGAAATAGTTTCACACGAGGATCTAAACTTTGGGGTATCAGTGGGTGTGGCTTCTTTCCCAAGCCAGGGTTACAGGTATGCTGAGAAACTGATGCCCTGGGCCCTGGCGTGGCTGGACAGGCCTGGGGTGCCACCTCTGGCCTGAGCTGACTCCTTCTGTTGCCCCAGTGTGCGCAGAGGTCTGCACTCATGTGGTCTACCATAAAGACGGCCCATATATGACTGCCACCCATGCAGGCTGGCAGCCCTGTTCTAAAGGATCTGGGTCCTTTGTGAGGTCCAGTGAAGACCTCTCTAATCTGCATTTCTCATGCTTCCAACTTTTACCGATGTCTGCCTGGGACGGGCCAGTAGATGATTCCTTCCGCAAACTGAGTCCTGCGCTGTTTTCTATGACCTGTCCCTGAGAGCAGGTGTTCAATATCCTCCAGCATTATGATGGCTTTCAGGATGCCTCAATTAGGAAAACCTCAGAGGCTTAGAAAATATACTCCTAGTAACAGCCAGCTCTATTAGCCAAGAACAGGGAGAATAGTCCATGAAAAGGAAACATTTCTTTTTCCTGGCTTCCTGCCATAACCCGATAAGGAGTCAGGTCAACTGAAATGTCTGCAGCCCTATGACAGTCTCAGCATCAGGGTCCCAAGGGCAACAACCGGATGACAGTGGCTTAACTGGTTGACAGTGGCTTATCCAGGCTGCATTTTTTAGTGTCATCGTTGCATTGATTACTCCCACACCCCACAAAAATTTCTTTGTTTAATATGTTTTTCATGCTTTGTATAAAGAATATAGAATTTTGGAGCTGGGATGAATCCTACACAAGTTCCTAAAGCATCACTACATTTTATAGGTGAGGCTGGGGGATTAAGGGACTCACCTGAGTCAACCTGGACCATTTGTGACCTGTCAGAGGTGGCCCACATGCTCCCCCACACCAGCTCATGGCAGACATCTCCCCAGCAGTATTTGATTTCAAGTTCAGTTCTAGATCTTGAACTCAAAGATGTCTGGATCGATGTTCCATTTGTGCTTAAATTTCTTTTTCTCTTAAAAAGTTTTTGAGGGCCTCTGTGGTGGCGCAAGGGGTTAAACACCGCACTATGAAGCAATCCACAGCCTCTGCAGCACGAGTTCGATCCCCAGCCGGCCAGGGAGCAAATCACATGGCGAGGTAGACCTCTCCTGTCTCTCCCGTGGCTCCCCTCAGCAGTGTATTTCAGTCAATGTGCCTGTTCTGTTTCCCACTCTGTCTCTGGTGGATCCTCTCACCCCCTACATCTCTGGCCTGTACCCCAGCTCTTGTATGCATAAATAAATAAATCTTTAAAAAAAAAGTTTTTGAGAAAATGTATTAAAGGATTCTGGGTCTTTATTGCATGCATCTTTGAGGGGGAATATAAATTCATTTGAAATATAAGATTCTATGCTGCATGTGCCTAACAGACAAACCACTAGCTTTTTCTTTACTAATCACCCCCCACCCCCAGCCTTTTCCATAATAACAAACACTGTCATTTACCCATGGGGTATTGTATAAAACACTTTGCAAGTATTTCCAACCTTCTCAAGAATCCTATGAGGTTGACATTATTATTTCTACTTTACAGATGAGGAAATTGAGGCTTCCAAAGGTTAAATAACTTGCCTCAAATCACATAGCAAGGTGAGTAGTGGAATTCTATTTATCTGAATCCATGAGTGTAATCTTTCCACTTAGAAGTTAGTGTAGCTATCATAGTGCACCTTAAGTGACCCAGAAAGGTCCCACCCCACAGCCTCTCTGTTTTGAGCAGAGAGGATGAACTTTTTCTACCTGCAAAATTCTCCTTCTGATTCAGGTAGCAGGAGTGAGGCCATGGGGTTCTTCATCAGATCGGCTACCACAGGGTCCTTGGGTGTCACATAGAAGAAAGGAATCCCAGTGCTATTGCTTAAGGGGCCATCGCTGATGGGCAGGCAGTTTCCAAATGGCAGTCCAGGCATCTAACACACACCAAAAAATACTTTATCAATGCAGGGTTGTGGATTGATCTTAGTGGCTAGTTTAGCTTGTGTTTCTGGATAAAGAACACAGCAGCAGGGGGCTTCCCTGGTGGTGCAAGTTAAGTCTCAGCATTATGAAGCTATCTGCTGCCACTGCAGCAGGAGTTTGATCCCCAGTCAGGAAGCTAGCCCACATGCGCAGCAGACCTCTCCTGTCTCGGCCACTGCTCCGCTCAGCAGTGTATTTCAAAGTCAGTCCACCTGTTCTGCTCCCCACTCTGTCTCTGGTGAATCCTCTCACACCTCATTCCTCCCCGCACCTCTGGCATACACCCCAGCTCTTGTTTGCATAAATAAATAAATTTAAAAAAAAAAAAAAAGAACACAGCAGCAGGGATGTGAAGGGAACATGGTATCACCATGGTTTTGACTGATCAAAAACTAAGTCACAGTGGTTTCCAATCTGCCCATTCACCCAGTGATGGCTCCAGAACGTCTATGGAGGAACTCAGCTGTAGCATTTCTGTTTGAAAGGGCTGGTTAGGGGAGTATTCTTGAAGCTACATGTACATAGCAAACACACTCACTTAATTAAATTTAAGGCTATTTTGGGGACAAGAAATGAAACTTTTGGAGGGGATGGAGGCCTTCTAGAACTCATAAGCTCCTCCTGGGAGCCCCATTGTTTTTACTATCCCCCTCAAATATTTGGTAACTTTGGGGGATAGAATTTAAGTCTTAACTTCATTTAATATCTTATTTGGTCTTTGGACTCCAAGAACTTCCTATTATTGTTTCATTTAGGATAATACTGCTTTCTTTCTCATTAGTCCCATTTTTTTTACTATAGTCAATAATATTTCATTATATAATTCAGCAACTTATGGAAAATGGGTTTCTTAGTTTTTTAGCATAAAGAAAGTCACAGCAACATGCTATACCAATTTTTATTCATGATCATGCAGTAGAGTGAGTGAAATTCTCAGACGCATCTATTTATTTGGTTTTCCCAAGTGGTTGCTGAGTCCAGCATCCTGATGTTCCTCAGCTGTACATTTTACAGAGTTCTTCTCAACTCAGAACTCAGGGGTTATCTTTGTCTTAGAAGTGTTGCATGACAATGTGTTAAGAAAACAATGCTAAGGAGTCCCCCAAAATGGAGCTGTAAGTTCATTCACAGATTCTGCTTTTCAGTTTGTCATCAACTGCCCACTGTCATGTTTTGCATGCATGGTCAATACACGAAATGTTCTCTGAATTTATTATTAGGATTAAATGTCAATATTGAAAAGGGGAACTCCCAATAAAGCAAAGAGAAAACATTGAAAGTCAAAATATCTTTGTATATCTTTGGCATTAGTCTTTAATTGTTTCAAATGATGTGTTTTATTTTTATTTATTTTTTTCAAAGTTTTTTTATATTTATTTATTTATTTAAGATTTATTTATTTATACAAGAACTGGGGTACAGGCCAGATGTGTGGAAGGGTGAGAGGATTCACCAGGAACAGAAAGGGGAACAGAACAGGCAGACTGGCTGAAATACACTGCTGAGGGGAGCAGCAGGCGAGACAAGAGAGGTCTGCCATGATATGTGGCCATCTCCTCCGCTGGTGGGGATCAAACCGGCACTGCAGAGGCTGCGGACAGCTTCACAGCGCTGTGCTTAACCAGCTGAGCCACCAGGGAGGCCCTCAAATGATGTGTTTTAAATCAAGATTAGTTTCACATTTAAATTTCATATCTTCTTAAGGTGTGTTTTAGGAGCATAAGATATAACTGAAAAGTCTTCTGGATGTTGTCATTATCCAACAGGCTTAGGATCTAAAGCTAAAGAGGTAATGATTAATGCCATAATCAGAATAACATATTTTCATGTTTTTTAAAGCAAAAAGGACCATCAAAACTGCCTACTCAAACAATTTCATCCATGAGGAAAGCTGGGGCAAGAACCTGTCCCCTGGCCAATGACCAACAAGGCTATAAAATTTTAAGTTTTTTCCCCCATGAAATAAATAGGAGTTCAAATTACTGTCCTGTCACAAAACCTTACATTTCTCTTAACACCCCTAAAAGCTTTCTGGAGCCTGTATATATACGGATATTACATCTTCATCATTTATCCCATGTTATTTTGTCTCAAGGTGGAAAGTCTAACAGGTGAATAAGACATGTGAACTGAGTGACAAAAACTGCAACTATCAGTTCATTTCAGCATTTATACACTAGACTATTTTATACTTTGCACAGTAAACCTTTCCCACAAAAAAGCCTGAGTTCAAGTTTTTAAAATATAAATTTTCATGAAAATCTGGGTGATGTTTTCTCCCAGTTAGGTCTTCTTTGGGTGTCTGTAGGTGGTGGGGAAGTTCGAGTTCGCAGGGGAAGGCTGAGAACAGGGGAGGGGCTGGATGTGTCTGCTCTGTGAAGCCAGAGGTGGCAAGGGTGTGTGTGTGTGTGTGTTTGTGTGTGTGTGTGTGTGTGTGTGCTCAAGCACTAGTTATTGACCACCTCAGGACTTCAGTCCCCAAGCCCTCAGGAAACCTGGTTGTCTGCCATCCCCTCTGCCCACCACCACCACTTAGCCACATCATAGAAGCACAATCTCGTTCCATTACTTACTATGTGACCACCAGCCAATCACCCCCAATTGACCTGTCTGTCACACCTGCATGCAAGGACGTGAGTAGTCACTAGCGTCTCCCTGTGTCCTGGGCGCGCCAGCCCCCACGAGCCAGGCCACCGCGAGGCATGCACCTGCAGCGCGCTCCTGGCCGGGGAGGCTTACCTTCTCGTGGGTGGACACGGTGGCCAGACAGCCCCAGGCGCTGGCGTGGGCCAGGAAGCGGGCGGTGCCGGGGCGCAACCTGGGGCCGCTCTCGCGCGGGTAGGAGAACATCCCGGGGGGCGCAGGGGGCGGCCTGGCGCGGGCGGTGCCCGCGGGGGGCGGCAGGTGCGAGTCTTCCTTGTGCGCCGAGGCGGGGAAGCTCTGCTGCCAGATGCTACCGGAGTCCTCCAGCAGCGCGGGCAGCGCTTCCTCGGTGGAGGTGCTGTCCAGTTCCTCTTCCACCTCGTTGGTGACAGCCCAGGACACCGAGCTCACGATCACATAGCCCGCGGCCGGGGACAGCAGGGCGCTGCAGCACAGCAGCCAGGAGAGGTGGGTCCCGGGCCGCACCCGCAGCTGGCCTCCGCGAACGGACATCTTGCAGGCGGCGCGCCCTGCCTGGGGGACCGCCAGCAGCGCGCCAGCGGCCGGAGAGGGCGGCAGCGCCCCCCCGCGGCGGACGCGAGGAGCTGGCACCCGTTCCCACAACCGCAGGATTCCTGGGTGGGGTCCCCAACCCCGGGGCGGGGGTCTTTTCAGCAATCAGCCCACGTTGAAAAGTCAAGGCTCCTGGAAGACCAGGTTCCACTCGACAGCTACGCGCGCTGCACCCGCGGTGAACAGGGTCCTCATCGCGGGGTGTCCCTGGATGGGCTCCTTTCCTGCTGGGTGGCTCAGGTTCTGCAGCCAGACGGTGGGCGGTCAGATCCCGGCTCAAAACACTACTCCACTCAGGAGCTAATAGTTCTTCCCTGCATTTATACACTTCGCGTGATCCTGCCAAGTCTTTTAACCATTCTGTGTCCTAATTCTTCATTAGAAAGGGAGGTCTACAGTAGACTCTTACAGGGGTGAGGGATGGAAGGGTTAAATCAGTAAATTTTTGGAAGGACTTAGAACAGTGCTTGGCACGGAGTAAACATTGTATTTTTGTTAGACGTAAAGGCAGAGATTGTTAGCATTTTATATAGGAGAAACAGACTAAACGGTGAGGTTGAAATTAGCACATAGCCCGTTCTTTCGCCAGTAAAGACATTGGCCATTTTACACTTTGCTATGATAGGACAACAGGACGGCACTGCCATCAGTTCATCGAAAAGCAGAATGAACTTGTTCACATATAGACGAAAATAAAGAGTAGCCAGTACATAGCAAGAAGGTGGCAGGCAGAATGGGCAGAAAACCCTGTATGCATGTACCACGATTTTAAAACTTTTTTTTAAATTGATGGACGTTTGGGTAGTTTCCAGTAATAAAGTTTTATAGGTATCAAAATAATTTCGTTGTAGCAAAAAATTCAGATTCTGGTGGCCTAGGGGTTAAGTGTCAGTGCTATGGCTAGACGGCTGAGACTTTAATCCCTCACCCCTGTAATACCTCAGACCACTGAGGTCTGAGTTCCATCCCCGGCCAGGGAGCTACCCACATGGCGCAGCAGACCTCTCCTGTCTCGCCTGCTGCTCCCCTCAGCAGTGTGTTTCAGTGGATCTGCCTGTTCTGCTCCCCACTCTGTCTCCAGTGAATCCTCTCACCCCCTGCACCTCTGGCCTATACTCCAGTTTTTCTGTACATAAATAAATATTAAAAAATAATAATTTAAAATTATTTATAGTTTCAAACTTATGTTTATGGTATCCACAATCTGCCTTACTAGGACCCATATTTTTCTTCTGTAGATTTTCTGTCTTGTTTCTAGTCCTCTTCAGAATTGTTGTGGATCAAAAGAACCTCAATAGCATTAGACTGCTTTAGAGATTTTGATAAATGTTACATTCTGTGGTAACTAGATGGTCCATTGTATACCCCACCCCCTACCCTACCTACCTGCTCCTTTCCCCTGCCATTCAAAGCATTTTTCTACAGAAAGTCTACTTAGTGTCTCAATGATCTCCAAGCTTGCCCTCCATCTCACCCCAGATACCCTTTGTGGCATGACCTCTTTCTGGTCTTTATCTTATGAGGCTCCCTGTTACCTTCCACACGGTTAGCCTCTCTCTCCTCCAGAGCTTTTCTTACTTTTCTTTTCTACTCATCCGTGGCTTGGTCATACTTTTACACCTAACTTGACAGACCAAATATTCGCCTTTAGTACTCTTGCTTTCTTTCTCCCTCCCAGTCCCTGGGAAGATGTGCTCCAGTCATGGAGAGGCAATATTAAAAGCATGGACTCTGGATTTAATTAAATCCAAACCCTGGTCAATTACCTCCTAAACATACATGCAAAATGCTATGACTTACATTTATCTCACTGGGTTGTTGTGGTTACAGAATGGGGCATCAGATGAGAAGCGTTTTAATTTGAGAAATGCAAATCATCTAACCTTTGTATTTCTTTTTTTAAAAAAAGATATATTTATTTATGCATACAAGAACTGAGGTACAGGTCAGAGGTGTGGGGGTGTGAGAGGATTTACCAGGGACAGAGTGGGGAACAGACAGGTGGATTGACTGAAATACACTGCTGAGGGGAGCAGAGGGTGAGTCAGGAGAGGGGTGAGTGGGCGGGTGAGTCAGGTCTGCCACACCATGTGGGTAGCTCCCTGGTCCAGGATCAAACTCATGCTGCAGTGGCTGCAGGTAGCTTCATAGGTTGTGTCTTAACCCCCTGCGGCACCAGGGAGGCCCTCTAACCTTTGTATTTCAAGAAAGAGAATGGAACATCCATTCCAATCTCTGAGTAGGGAAAATTTGGAAGAATGTTGCAGACTCTTGGCTCTCTCCTCATTCTGCTTCCCTTTGGCAGGAGGAGTGACTCATCTGATAGATGAGTTTGGGAAAAGGAACTCAATGTGCTGCTCAGTGTCTGTAGGGCTATTCTTTTTTTTTTTTAAGATTTATTTATTTATGCATACAAGAGCTGGGGTACAGGCCAGAGATGGGAGGGGTGAGAGAATTTACCAGAGACAGAGTGGGGAACAGAACAGGCAGACTGCCTGGAATACTGCTGAGGGGAGCAGCGGGCGAGACAGGAGAGGTCTGCTTCTCCATGTGGGTTTCTCTCTGGCCGGCGGGGGATTGAACTCATGCTGCAGAGGTTGCGACTGCTTCATAGTGCGGTGCTTAACCCCTTGCGCCACCAGGGAGGCCCGTTATAGGGCTATTCTTTATCTTTCCTAAAAGTCTGTCCACTGTTGTCTTCTTCCTTGGCTGAGCTGGCTGGACCCCGGAGGAGTGTGTGTTTTCCCTGTATTGTTTGTGACTAGAGGAATAAATCCAGTGGCATAACTTAGTAGAAGTCCTAGTTGGTCATAATTGCCCCAATTATCTTTATCTCTGTTAAACTTTCTGATTTTGATGTTTTATTTCCCAACTGGACCAAATGTCAAAAGAGATTGAAGGGGATGAATAATAATCATCTTTCAAACTTCATCACATAACTTGTACTGGGACATGGTACATGCTCAATAGATGGTAACCATTATTATTTGCTTTCTGGACATTACCACTGAATATCAAACTGGTCATTTACACTCAACTTTTGGGAGACAATTCTCTGTGGATTTCTTCCATTCTCCCAAGTCCAGAGTCCAGGTCTATTAGAATGTTCTTTTTTTTTAAAAATAATTGTTTATTTTTGCATACAAGAGCTGGGGTACAGGCTGGAGGCATGGGAGTGAGAGGATTCACCAGAGACAGAGTGGGGAACAGAACAGGCGGATTGACTGAAGTACACTGCTGAGGGGAGCAGCAGGTGAGTCAGGAGAGGTCTGCTGCGCCATGTGGGTTGCTCCTTGGCTGGCTGGGGATCGGACTCGCACTGCAGAGACTGTGGATAGCTTCATAGTGCTGTGCTTAACCCCATGTGCCCCCAGGGAGGCCCCTAGAATATTCTTGATAAGCTAGAGATAGCATATCCTTCTAGAGAAATTTAAAGACCCATTTCCTCAGAGACACCATCCGTAGTCAAGATAAAACCCTTCCTTTTCTCTCCCCAGTGATGTGTGCTTACATTTCAGGGTATTACCAGCAGCCCTGAAAAAAAGCTGAGTCTCATAACTCAGAGTTCCTCTCCACATATGGGTAACCCATGACCTTCATTGTGTCGTCCTGTGAATTTGGGGGGGAAGGGAAGTGATGTAAGATGTTGTGTCAGATGTGTGCTGCAACAGAAAAGGACTCTCCCAATAGCAAATTCAATCAGGTTTGGTAAAAGAATAGTGATAAATACTTAATTTCAGAACACATTGCTATGTATTTTTAGATCAAATATGTTTTCAGAAAATCTGCTGCAAGAATGTGAGTGGGTTTTCAACTATCATCGCCAACATTTATATTTCAGGACCTATGTGGGTATAACTTATATTACCATGAAGGAAAATGGATGCTTCTCTTTGTGTCAGCACCAGACTGACAATCATGATGTGCCTGGGGTGGGGCAGGGGGCAGGGTGGTGGTGGTGGTTGGGGGGTAGTAGAAATCTTCTGTCTGTACAGGTTTTATTATTCCTATTTTAAATTCCTGTTTCAGAAAATACAGTTGTCTCTATGTAACTGAGGATCACATGTCTGTGTTTTATGTCAAGTTAAATTGTAATAATGTCACCATGGATGGTGGAATTTGTGCTCTTGATCAGTGTTCAGTGCTACACAGGTGACCTTGAGTGACTCATTTCTGCTGGGACATTGTGTCCCTAGTGGAACATTTTGGATGAATGATTTAGACATTATCACTGACATTGAATTAAACTTGAAAAGGTAGTTTGAAACTGATTGAAAACTTGTTATTTGACACTTCCTATGTCCACACCCTTTTCTAGTGTCCTCTATGTACTTTGCTTTGGTCAATAGGATAGAAACACATTGACACAAGCAGGGGCATGAAAATGTGCATGTGTGTTCCACTTCCGCTCTTTTGGACACCGCCTGTCATGAGAACATGCACAAGCTAGCCTGCTGGAGGAAACTGGGAGTTGCACAAAGGAGAGCTGAGTCATCCCAGACCAGCCAGCCCTTAAGTTGCCTATTAGGGGCAGCAGAAGGCTGTCTGGGGCCAGTGGAGGTTCACCAGCCCAGATTAGCAGAACAGTCCATGCAAGGAACCATCTCTAGTAATTAAAATGTCCACTCCAGTGCAATAGCCAAGATGTCAAATTTTATTTAAGGTAAAATGTTCTCCCTTTTCCTGGCTGTGAACGGCATTAGGTCTTGAGGGCTTTGGTTGGGGAGGTAGATGTGACTGAATGTCTCATTGCTTGGCCTCCTGCCTCAGCTCATCAGCGAGGCACAAAGAGAAGAAAAGCAAAGATGTAGGTGGTGGATGTAGGTCCATTCCCACACCAGCGTTCATTGACCTGGTGGCTCTTCTTTTTCTCCCAGAACCCTTCTGTGTGTTCCTTAGCTATTGTCCCACCAGTGCAATCCCCGCAGTGTTGTATGGAG